CATTATAAAAGTCATTTTCCTTTTTAAATCTAGGTAAGCAGAAAATCCTTTTGAATACTTTTTTGTGTATCCACATATCTTACACATTTTCTGATTAATTTTAGCCCTTTTTTGCTTTGGTATCTTGAGTTTTCTTTGCACACAAGGACATAATCATCAAAAACATTATTGCTTTTCCCCAATGTTTTTGCTTGTTATTTTCCTTTCTTTTCTCTCTACACTGGATGATGATGATAGCTGCTAACCCTGTCTGCTTCTTAATCTTAACTGAAATTATTTTATTATTTGGCTGAAGTAGATAAAATATTTTGCTTTTGGGTTTTTTGTTGTTAAATTTCTTTATTATATTTAAATAAATTGCTGTATTATATTCAGTTTTCTTCTATTTGTATTTTATTTCAAATATTTTAAGTAAGAATTATTTCATTGTATCAAAGACATTTTCTGATCTAAGTACATGGTCAGAGCCAATATCTGAGCTTTCTATGTCACTTAAAATCATTCAGATTTTGAGAAACTGTGGGCAGATAAATTTCCAGAAAACAGCCGGTGCTTTTACAAAGATTTTCACTTTAATCTAAGATATCTGAGTTTTGCTTTCCACACAATATTAATCTTAGAAAATATATGCATTTCCACAGCAGACATATACTTATCTCTAAACATGTCTTCAGTGACAAATTTTTGTGAGAAAATTTGTAACAGCGTTTTGATGTCTAATTATAACACATTGAGTTAAATCCCTGTTGCATTTTATGTCTCTTGATCTTAGAGTAAATTTAGCTTTCTAATTACTGGTGCTGATTCTCCTGTCTTCAAAATATCCCAAGTAGTAATTTTCTGACTTATTTTCATATCCTCATTTGTCAGCATTTGTCACAATTAGAAAGTTGCCAACATTTAAGGAATACTCTTTTTTTTTTTTTTGGAGCCCTTCTTTCTCTTTAGTTACAATTATTTACCAAAGAGAATTCAGTTCTCTTGCCTCATCCCAAGATTGCAAAAATAAGTTTTCCTAAATTGGTTGTTTCATATTCAGGACTCAATGTCTTCCTAGAAAATTTTAATTCAAAATTAAACCTAAATCTATTGTGGTTTTTCACAGCATTTTTTGTTAATAAAAAATCTTTATAGTCCCCTTAAGTATGGTTACTTCTCCTACAAAAATATAGTGACTGAAGTGTGATCCCAGCTTCTCATTTGGGACCCCATGTTACTTTCTAAAACTCATCAGTAATCAAGTTTCTAATGGCCACTAGTCTTTGACTCTTTAAAAACTGGATTACATTATTCATTCCTAGACTAATTCCCAAATCTTTATAAAGTGGAAAATCTTTTGAAATCAGACTTGGGTCTGAATCCTGGCTCCACCATTTATAAACTGTACAAACTTAAGAAATGTTCTTAAGCTAATTGAGCCTCAAGTAAAAATGCATGTGATAATATGTACCCCATTCATTTGTTCAATTCCTATTGTAATAATTGAAATTTAATGAAGAAAGCAAATACAAATCCTGAGAAAATTAATTATCTTAATATTAAACAAACTGTAATGTGATTGAAGCATTTTGTACCATAAATTATTGCTGAGACCATGTCAATTGATTGAACTTGGAATCATAACATATATTCAATTCCATAATTATGGGAAATATTTATCTTCTACCTGTAAAACTTTTGACTTGAAAATGTTCTGTGGTTTTAAAGGAAAACAACTGAGATCCTTATTTCAAATTTTGATGTCACCAAAAATTTAACAATATGAGAAAAGTAATTATGTCTGAGAGAATGACTATTTTGCTTATGTTCAGAATTTAAAATCTTACATCTGGAGATTTAAGTAAATATAAATGTTAATTATAAAACATCTATCACTAATTACGTGGAATATGTCTTAGAGGGTCACATGTGCCTAAATGCGTTAACTAATCTCTTAAAGCTTTGATTACTGCTTTCCCTTTGCAGCCCCCTTTAAGCAAATAAATTCATTATAAGGAGGGCTTTTGACAAAAATTTATATTATACAAATTGTCTTTGAAAATATTATTGAATGTGGACCTCCCATCAATATTAGAAAAATATTTTATCCACATCTTCTGTGTAAGAAAACTGAGTTTTAAGGAGCAATTGCATTAGTAGACCAAAGTAACAAAACCAGTAAGTAGCAACGTACTATACCATTCAGCATATACTCCTGTCAAATGATCATCACCTCATCTGTTCTTCAATGGTTACCAGAATGAGATATTTGTTTTCCAAGGCAACTGAACTATTATCATACCATATCTCATAATCTTTCAGCATCCTACAATGGATAGTTCCTCATATCTCTTCAAGAACTGAAATAGACCACATTCATTATTGCATTAATACCTGACCACACTTATAAGTTCTTCTACAAAGGCTTTTTCTAAACTGGTCTCTCTTTTTCCTGATCTAAGGCTTATCTTTTGCATAAATTCCCAGAGATCCAGAAATACTGACTCTAACAGCAGGTAGGATGCCTCAAAGCTCACTTTGAACCTACTACTCTCTGCCCTAACACTACAACAGAATTGAGTATCATTTCTTTCTGGCTTTTCAGGCTATATTATCTTTACTCAGGTTGCACAAACCTCACCTTCAATTATTGTTTATTGCAGAATCACTAAATTACAAACTAGAAGTGAATGATGTGGATCAATTAATTAAGCCCATGTTCTAAATGTACAGATTTACTCAGACTTCTCCAGTAAGTGGAGATCCTAATTTTTTAACAACTTCAGGATAGAAATGCCTACAAGACAGCCTATTCCATTTTCATACTGCTCTAGCCATTAGAAAAATTTCTTATCTGTGATGACTAACCTGGAAATACTTACTAATAGTAAAATAAAACACACATATTCCATTTGTCTCAGCAATTCAGATTTTGAGTTGATTCTCGCAGAAGCCCATAGGGGACAGGTGTTAATTACAGCAACGTTGTGCTGCGGAATAGCTGAGTGTGGTCGTGTGTGTATCACTGATATAGTCAATGGGCAAAATCTTGTGTATGAACCGTGTGGAGTACCATGCAACAATTAGAAATAGTAGTCTGAACGTACACACCGTAGCAAAAACAGATCTTTTAACACAACTTGTGCTGAGGGGAAAAAAAGTTTTAAAAATATATATAATAATACCATTTATGTAGATTTAAAATAAGTAACTGAATAACCAAATTTCCTGGGACTTTGACAAAATGAAATGGGATATTTTCACATAAAATAACTAAATTACAAGATAACTGTAAATGAGAAATAGGTGTAAGAATGGAAATAAAAGACGAGTACAAAATTTTAAAAAATCAAGGATATTTTGACCTTCTCTTTTTTGATTCGAATGCCCTTAATTTCTCTCTCTTTCCTGATTGCTCTGGCTACTACTATGTTGAATAGACATGGGGTGTAATGGCCACTGGAAACTAAAGGTGGGAGGATGAGAGGAGAGTGAGGGATAAAAAAAATCTACCTATGAGATACAATGAACAGTATTCTGAGGATGAGTACACTGAAAGCCCTGATTTCAGCATGATACAATTCATCCATGTAAAAAACATTTGTACCCTCTAAATTTTTCGAAATAAAAAAAAACACAGAAAAGAGCCATGTGTGGATAAATGACAAATAATACAAATGAGCATATTAAGCTCAAACCTTTACTCTTGAAGAAAAAATTTAGTGAAGACAGCAACTGTGCCCTGCCCAAACTAGAATTGCTGTAGAGACATACATCCATTTACCTGAGTTTTTGCTTTGGCAGCCTCTTGTCCTTTCCCTTTAATCCCCGAAGACCTATGGAGTTTGAGCACACACTGCTGGTAGACCAGCACAACCCTCAGCCACAGCCATGTTTTTTTACCCACCTTCAGCTAAGAGTGGCCACATAACAGGAATGTCCAAAAAGGAATAGTTAGAAGTCTTGTAGGAAGGGTTTCTCTTCCCGTAGAAAAGGACAAAAGTTCTTAAAAGATCTAATGCTCTTAATCATTTGTCCTTCTTACTTTTCCTGACAGGAACCTGAGCAGAATGTCAGTCTTACAGGGCAACCGCTGCGAAACCATAAGGGTGAAGGGCACTTGTACGTTTATTGCAGCACGATTCACAACGTCGAAATACGGAATAAACCTAAGTGCCCATCAACGGATGAACGGATAAAGCAACAGTGAGGCACAGAAAGAGAACAGGGTACTGCTTCTTTCTGATTTCCTTTAGCACTGTAGTAGACTTACCTGCTTTTTCCAAGATTTCTTGTTTCACATATTTTTTTAAAAAATGTTAACATTAAATGAATATTGTTGCCTCTTAATTACCATAACTTAAACACAGGGCCAAGCCAATCACTTCTGGACTAGTGTACCAACCTCATAAATAGATTCCTTTTCTCATTCATCTATTAATAATGCTTTATCATGCATGATATAAAATTTCAAATGTGATATTTGTGGTTATGTTTAGATATAAGTGTAAAGAATTAACATACAAGTAATTAAGAAATCTATAAAAGTGCCAGTATTTAAATTCAATCATTTAGAAAAATTGTCTTCTGCTAAGTAATGGTCACCCAGTTTTCCAAGGGGCCACAAATCCTGAAATTAATGGTAACTCTGACATAAAAAAAAGTCCAGACTTATTAGTAAATAAAGATTTTTATTAAGATACTGCTATTTTTATTCCATTTTAGTATGCTCTAATTACATAATCTTCTTGTGCTTCTCCAAATAGTCACAGTACAAAGATGGAGTATAAGATATAGGAATTTACTTTTGAAAATTAATCAGAATAAAATCTACTGTCTTCAGTGATGCCATGGAATTACTGTTTCTATCCACTGCACACAGCTTTTTGTATATTAATTCAGGTACCCAGCAGACAACAGTCAATCTTTACTTTGGTGTGAAGATAATGAATAGGGGAGATTTCAACTGGACTTGATCATGGAGTGGTCACTTCAAAGGTAAGGATGATCTGTAGTGATGATTAGCAGCAAGTGGAATAGCAGCTTCTGTAGCAAAATGGTCGGTAACCACAGCATCCAGAGCCGTAACCACAGCCATATCCAAAGGTACCTCCATATCCACGGCCATATCCGCAGCCGGACCTGTATCCACAGCCACTTCCATAGTCACAGCCATATCCACAGCCATATCCGGTTCCATAACCACAGCCGTAAAGGGAGCCGTATCCACAGCCATAGCCAGAGCCGTATCCACAGCCATAGCCAGTGCCGTATCCACAGCCGTAGCCAGAGCCGTATCCACAGCTCCCACAGGAGTTTCCATAGTAGTTGCAACACATGGTGTCAGGAAGTGAGGTTTCAGGTGAGGTATAGGAGAATATTTCTGAAGTGTAAGTGTCATCTACTCTTCCAGCATCTTTATATACTCTCAGGGATGGATGGGTCATACTCACATGGTCCCTGTTCTCTCATTTGACAACCATTTGCCTATAAGGAGCTCATCCTGTGTACAACCACTTTGTTAGGAATTCATAATTTACTTACTGCTTCCCCAGGAATTTGTTCAAGCCTTCAGAGGAAACAAATATAACACTTCGTAAACACCCAAGCTTATATAACCATAATTTTATCTTCCATAATTTCATTTCATGACCATGACATAACACATCCTGAAAATATGTTTGAACTATAGATATGTGTTTATCACTCTGCTCTTTCATGATTTTGGCAATCATCTATTAAATTATAAGTTCTACTCACTACTTTAAGTATCATCATCATTTTAATTTCTTTTATTTCTTCCATAATACTTTATTTTTTCCATTATAATGACTCTGAATTACTTTTCATGGATTTTGGACGAAGAATTAAGTATTTTCGACATGCTACACCCACTCCCTGAAACACTCTTCTCTCTGAAAAAAAGCTTATCCATCCCCGTTTTTGCCAGGCAGGTTATGACATTTTTTTCCTTCTTCGAGGGAAGAAATTTTGTTAAACTTCTGATGGGTCAATTATATGAGGAGATAGATCATTTATTACATAAACAACAAATTTGTCCAAGAGTTTCAATTTATGGTGAGGGAAATTCCTTGGCTCACAACATCTTTGTTGCTGAAGTCCAACTGGTAAGTCCAGTTCTTAAACACAGATCTGTTTGTGGGTTTACTCAGACTACTCTCACGTTTGTGCTTCGTATCATTGTTTTCCACTAAAATGTAATCAATCAATAATTAATATCTCTAGACAAGTAGAATGGATGGGGAATAGGGAGAACTTTATCAAAGGACAATTTCAGTAAGACAAGAGGAATCAGCTTTAGTGATCTATCTCACAGATGGTGACTATAATAAATAGTAATGCAGTGTATATTTCAAAAATTTCTAAAAGGGTAGATTTGAAATATTTTCACTACAATAAAAGCATACACATATAAGGTGATGGATTTCTTGATTAGCTTGATTTAATCATTACAGTATTTTCTTGATTTTAGTCTTATCTGTCTTTTCCAAAACAAAACTTTAATAATGATACTTACACGGATTTTGCTGAATACCTTACTTTATGATATTAGTAATAGTTAACCTTTCCATGGGATTTCTTCTACATCCTCTCTTTGACTTTACATCATCTTCTCCCACCGTCTATGATAAATGGGTCTATGGTCCATGACCTCTCTTCATTGACACCTCTTCTCCTTTGCCCTAAGTTTTGGCATTCTTGTGGCTACTTTACCCTCCATCTTTGCTTCTTACTTTACACACCAGATAATCTTGTCTGCTACCACTGACTTCACTACTTTATATACACAAATGGCTCCTAGAACTAAAATTATCTGTGTCAGTCTGGGTCTAATCAGGAGGCAAAAATATCACACAGTTGGTTAGTCAGGGAAAGTGTCATATAAAAAATAATAAACTATAATAAAAGAGCATCTATACAATATGAAGAAACTACATGGTACTCTAAGCCTGTGAAAAATACTCAAGAAAGGAAAAACTTGGAAGGGATATTCTACTCACCGAATGTATGGATTGAAAAATTGTTGTGCTATAGTTGAAAATACTGTATTGTGCCCTTTAAAACATTTGTTAAGAGGGTAGTAGATACCATGTTAAATGTTCCTACCACTAGAGGAAAAAAATAGAGCAGAGGAAACTTTTACAGATGACGAATATGTTTATTACTTTGATTGTGGATATGGTTTCATGGGGGTATGCATATGTCTGAACTCATGAAACTATATACATTAGATACGTGCATTTTATATTACTTATATTTCAATAAAGCTAATAAATAAAACTTGCCCTGCAGTCACTGGGCAAACAGAAGGCACCTTCTGGAGCCCAGTCGGTGAACAAGTGATGCGCATCTGGTTGTGTGGGCGTTGGAGGGTCTGGGAAGCCCTGAGCTATAGGAAGACTAGGAGAGGGAGTGGGGCAGCCTGTGGAAGAGAATCTGGGTGTCTGTGTGGGTAGGAGCCATGTAGAGACTCATGGTGAAAAGTCTTCAAAGTGCTGGTTTTCATGTAGAAGGGGCCAAATAAAAGTTATTGCTGGGCTGAAGCTCAATGTCACTGAGGATCCCAGACATTCTGGACTCAAGGCTGAGGTGGAGCTTCACCAGATGTCCTCACACCTGCACCGCCAACGCCCTCTACTTCCCTTCTGTGCTGCAGGCAAACAATGCAGGTGAGCTGCTTCCTGCTGCAATGTCCCTGCAGCATCCTCTCCCGAGCAAAGCGAAAGTTGCACCCACATTAAAGGAGAAATGCTTAAAGGAATCCCATCTATCATCAAAGCACATATATTGAAAGGATGAATTTGATGCTGAGAGGCCATAAACTGATAACCAGTACAGTTTCTTTTCCAAGTTCCAGAGGCTCTGTAGTAGAAATAATTTTCTCTGGCAAACAGATTGATTTATTTCCTGGCTGAGACATTTACTAATTTTATGGTCATTGAGAATGTCCTCAACCTGTATGAACCTCAGTTTCTGCAACCACCAAATGGGATTAAAAATAATATGTATTTAAAAATTTTGTCAAGAGGCCCATGGAAAATATATAGGAAATATAAAGTTTGTAGCACATAACTTGACATATAGTAGAGACAATATATTTATTTGTTTCCTCCTTTCCTTTAACAAAATATAAGCATTCCCAAAATACAGGTTTTCAAATTTCTCTATGTACTTGTATTGATTTATTTATTATACTAATATTTTAGGATCTGCTTTAATGTTACTATTTTTAAAGTATGTGTAAGATATATATACATCATACATTTTCATATATATCAATTAATGTTTTTCATTCAAAATTTTCAAAAATGACCAAGCATCCTCAGAAGATGAACTACCATGTAATTACCTCAGTTCACCTTGCCCCTGAAGCATTTTTCATGGTAATGTTTTTGTAAAAATATGGAATCAAGCAATACATCACAGGGCTTGGCTTCATAGCATATTTGGAAGGTCAGTAACCATGAAAATTCATTAAAATGACCAACTCCTAAATTGAAAACGTGCCTATGTATTAAATAGGGTGAAAGTAAATTTCTGCATTCCCAGACTGTCATAGGATTTATGTAAAAGTCAGTCAGTCTGTGTTTGGAAGTGTGGCCATACTGCAGTTGAAGATTTCCATGTAGGTGAGTAATGTGTCCCTATAAAACAGCCCTACTGGTTCATGAGATCATACTCTAAAAGTTCTATGAGAATCACATCATGGCAAATATGCATTTCCCCTCTTTTTACTTGGATGTCAATTTAATCTGAGTCAAAATGTGATTTTATCCAACTCCACACACGACTAGGCAGTAAATGCATTTTCTATTGGAAATATTTCCTCTTCAGATGTCTGTACTTGAGACTTAAAATCATTCTGTGAAACTACCAGATTATGAATTATGAACATCATTTTAATTAAGGAGGAGGCTAAGGTTCAGGAGAGTTCAGGTCCTAATCAAAACCGCATTTCCAAGTTTTCTTTTTTTTTTTTTTATTTCAGCATATTATGGGGGTACAGATGTTTAGGTTACGTATGTTGCCCTTGCCCCCCCTCCCCCCCAAGGCCGAGTTTCAAATATGTCCATCCGAGTTTTCTTGATCTAACTATAATTTTCTCCAGAAATAGGTCAGTAACTTCTCCTTGAATGTTTTCAGTTTGTGGGAACTCTCAACTTCCTGTCTTAAACAATCTCATTATATTGTGAAAATCTCTTGATGTTAGTAATTTCTATACAACCTAAGTCTCTCACAATTGCTGACAAAGAGTTCCTGTTATAACTTGAGACCCTTGCACGCACATTTCTTTTCCTGAGTCCTAGCTAATATATTCTACAAAAAATCTCCAGTGCAGCTTTTGGTTAATATGAAATATTTTTATCTCCTGCTTTCTTTTTAGGTTTAAGCTTCTGCAGATATTTGAGCAAATCTCAAAGACCTGCCTTACTTTGCTAATATGGTTGTTATTACCTCGCCTCAATTAACACGTCTTGTTTTTCTCTTGTAAGATAAGATATTCAAAATGCACTCATCATCTCTGGCCACCTTCCAAACCTATAAACAGTTATTTCTTTCTCCTCTTTCCTATTGCTTTTAAGAACGTTACCATTTTTTTCGGTGACTCTAAGCCTCATAGTCTTTGTTTAAATTATAAAATCAGCATTCTTTAAAACTCATATTTGAAAGAGGTGTTAAGGTTCATTTAGATTTGTCGGGCCCCTACATGACTTAATTTCCTCATAAAATCCAGAATAAATAGTAAGGTAGCCCAAAGCAAGACAACTCCCTCCTGCATCAAATTCCATTTTTGGCTTTTACCTTTAGGAAATTGTCACATATTAAGAAGTCTAAACCTCCTTGTAATTCAAACATGTTGATCCATTTCTGGTTCCTGGAACCAGGAAACCAATTTTAATCTACCTTCCATATAACAACCTTTAAATATATGGGGAAAATTAGTACCTCTCCTTGTCCTCAACACAAAACGCTATGAGGTACAGGCTTCTAAGTATTCTTTCTGGTAACCTCCTCTTCCTTTTCCACTCCTTCTCTGAGCTTCCTTTGCAAATTTCCAAGTCTAGACCACAGCACGTATCTTCTCAATTAGTCTCATATCCTATTAGCACAGCATCTTTCTTCCTTTCCTCCACAGTCTGATCCACTCAGACATTTGGGAATGGTATAGAAATGGCATGGATGTGTGTGTTAGTGTTGATATAAAATGTGATACCTTTATAAATGGTAAGGAAATGGCATAAATTTGTATTTTGGTGTTTATATAAAATGTAACAAATAAGCAGAAAAGATACTTTAAAGTTGCAAGTAGAAGAAC